CCTGTTCCTGTGAATAGGCACAGGCAGTCACACACGTTTGCCTGTGGGGTTGTAGGGACAAGGCCTCTGACCCACCAGAGCCTGCCCATGATGCCCATGGCTTGCCTGCCAGTCATCCAGCAGAAGGCTGTGCTCTGAACACCAGGGCTTGAGCAGTGGCAGGCACCTGCCCTGGTGGGAAACAGGGGACCAAGGAGGATCTCACAGGGTGAGTTAGGCGGCCACCCCTGGGGAGAGGGGACCTGGGAGAGGCGAGGGATCTGGGCAGGCCAGCATCTGCCCAGGAGGCAGTGGCCACAGCTCCCAACCTTGTCCCACCCACAGGACAGCCTTCAACAACAATGTCAGCGTGGCCTACGAGTGCCTGAGTGCCGGCGGCCACAGGAAGAGGCCGGGGCTGGATGGCCGCACCTACAGTGAGCTGCTGAAGCGCATCTGCAGGGATGGCGAGGCCCCGGAGGAGGTGGTGGCCCCACTGCTGCGCAAGATCCAGTGCCGCGACCATGAGGCGGTGCCGCGGGGCGTCTTCCGTGCAGGCATGCTTACCTGCTTTGTGCTGCTGGACTTCGTGGCCCGGGCAGGAGCCCTCTTCCGGCTTCTTGAGGCCCCAGGCCTGGCAGTGGCTGACCGCCGTGTGGGCCAGGCCGTTCTGGACACCCTTGAGGGGGCCCTGGGGGCTGGTGACCACACTGCTGGGCCTGCATGCTACCTGGAGGCCGGCTCGCGCCTGGGACCCGACAGCCTGGCGCTGGCCCTGGACCGTGCAGCGACCGGCCGGAGGCCCAGCTCCCCCATGTCCCGAGAGGAGTTCCTGGAGAAGGCAGCCGCCCTCTTCATCGCCAAGGTCAAGCCAGTGGGCTGAGCCTGCTGCGTGGCTGCCCTGCTCCTGGAACAGGCGTGGGACTGGCCCAGGACAGAGCATTCCCACCCCTGCACTAGGACATGGCCACCAGGACACTGCACCCCCACAGCTGGGCACCCACACTCACAAGCCCTGCTCAGCTGAAATAAAGTCTGTGGAGGCCTGTGTGCATGCACATGTGCGTGCGTGCGTGCGCCAAGTGGGCCCACCACCCGGCCGCCCAGCCAGCCCATTCCTCTGGAGCCTGAGTCTCCTTCCACAGCCCTGCCCACTCCAGTGGCTCCTCTTGGGCCTCAGTTTCCCTAGCCATCCAGCAAAGAGGGCAGCTGGCAGCGACACCGAGGGATGGCAGTGGGATCTCCACCCCTCCTTATCCCTCACTGCCTGGAGGAAGGCGGCTGCGAGAGGAGACCAAGGGCCAACAGGCTGGGGCCCTCCAGAGTCACACGGTGCCACCTCCACCAGCGGTCCCCCCAGCTCCCTGTAAGCACTTCATGACTTCAGGCATCTGTACCCCACACACCCAGAGCCTGGCCTCCACCTCCCTCCTACCTAGGACTGACAACCCCACTCTGCCTGAGAGAGGCCTACGCAGTGGGTCTGTTGAATCTGTCTTCTCAGACTGGCGGGTGGCCCCAGCCGCTCCCCAGTCCAAGTTAAGTGTAGGTTGGATGGCGGGTGAGTAGTGTGTCGGGAGTGGTGGCAGCTCTGCTGCCAAGCAGAGCAGCATCAGGGTCCTGTTCCCACTCGGGCTCTGAAGCCTATACTCCCAGCAAACTCCATAGCAGGAGGCTTTGGGGCAATCTGTGCCCCCATGTTAGGGACGGAGCCGCCTGGGCTCAAGCACTTGCAGCCACTTGAACCCCCAGCCAAGCAGAGAGGGCAGCCAAGCGTGAGCTCTCAGAGGACTGGGACGCCCAGAGGCAAGCATGGCTTGCCAGCCCAGGAGACTACACTGAGGCCAGCCTCCCTGCCATCCAGCCATCTCCAAGGCATTGTGGTGTCCTGCAAGAGGGGCCTCTCTTGTCCTCGGGAGTGCCCCACGTGGATATGACTTCTAACAGCCCCAGAGTCAAGCACCTCCTCGGTGTCTGCATAGGGACGCCCTGGGACTGCCCCAGGATCCTGGGCATGAGAGGTGGCCCCATGCTTCCTGTCCCACCAGCCCACCCCTCCCCTGCCACCTGGGCACCACTGGCCAAGTGGAGCATTCCAGTGTCCCCTGGCTTCCATGATTGGCTTGGGGCAGGTGTGTGACACAGCATGACACAGTCATCTGGGAACACAGTGCTAGGGCACTGATCTGGGAGCAGCTGGTGGGACTCTTCAGCCACTGTGTCACCAGAAGTTGCTGGGAGAGCCCAGCTGCTATTTGCCTCAGTCCCCTCCCGCCCTCTGCCCTAGCCTGTCCCCTCCCGCCCTCTGCCCTAGCCTGTCCCCTCCCGCCCTCTGCCCTAGCCTGTCCTCTCCACCTTGCTGTGCAACACAGGACTTCAGACCCACAGGGCTCTTACCCACCCCGTGCTGGTCCACCCCAGGGTCACCTGCCAGGAGGCGCCTACCTGAGCCCTGGGCACACCTCCCGCTGCTGCCCCTGCTCTCCAGCCCTGGCTTGCTCTTCCTCCCTCGCCCGCTTCTTTCCTGCTATTTCTTGCCTTTGCTGCCCCTGCCCTTGTGGATGTGTGGTGTTGAACCCTGCGTCTCAGGGAAAAGTGCCTACTGTGTCACTGCCCACAGGGACAGAGCCACCTGGGCCAGGGTTTGTGACAGGTGGGTGCTCTGCCATTGAGCCACATCCCCAGCCTTTTTTGAGACAAGGTCTCCCTAAGTTGCCAAGTTGACCTGGAACTTGCAACCCTCCTGCCTCAGCCTCCAGGGTCAAAGGTGACAGGTGTGGCCACTGTGTCAGCTCTGCTTTTTTACACACAGGAAATACTATTACCCCAAGCGGTTTGTTCACGAGCTTGCTCACCCTCTGTCCAGAGCCCCCCGAGGCAGGGATCCTCAGCACCTAAGTTTTGTGCACAAGAGGAAAAGAAGGGAAGGAGGAAGGGAGTTAAATTACCACAAATTCACACAAGTGGTACAGCACCTCTGACTCTGGCCCTCCTGCCTCCTCTCATGAGGACCCTGTGGTGACCCTGGGTCCCAATGACCAGGGTGACCCAGCTCAGGGTCCTTCGCTGATGCCACCTCAGAGCCCCTGCTGCCCCTGCATGGCAAATCCAGGAACACCAAGGGGGTTCTTCGCATCATCTGCCCATGGGCTCAGCTTTCCTGCGGCTCACCTTGTTCACAGGCCACATGGTGAAGAAGCCCTCCAACTTGGCTCTCTGTTCCCAAGGCAGGTCCCCAAGCTGCATCTCATCAGATGCCCAAGCCAGTCCCTGCAACTGGGAGGTGGGACACTGATTGGACAACCTGGCCCTGCAGCCCGGGCTTGGTGTCAGTCTAAACCTCGAGTGCCCACCCCAAGGGAAGAGTGCTGTGGCAAAAAATGCCCCCCCTCATCACTCCAGGATGTTCCAGGGCCAGGAGCAGTCTTTCCAGGGGTCCCCTGCCTGCCCTGGGGCGAGGGGTGTGGGGAGATCTGGACAACTCAAAGGAAGAGCCAGGGTCAACTCCAACTATTGTCTACTGATGAGCTGCCTCACACCAACTCTGTGACAACAAGGACAGCCTACCTCAGAGAATGGGATCCGTGAACACTCCACGCCCAAGAGGGCACACCAGGCAGGCAGCACTGACTGGGCACCCCCCACCTCCCAGGTTGTGGGGCAGAAGGGCCTGGGAGGAGGGCCAAGGGCAGCTCTGAGCAGCACGTGGAGCTGTCACTGACCAGGGCTTCCTTAGATTCCTCTGCCTACCTCACCTCTGATGTTTCCTTTCCCATTTCCAGCTGAGATGGCAGCTTCAGAGGGCAGGGACAGGACACGAGGGAGCCGCCCCCACCCGGCCTGAGGCTTGCCACAGCCGCCCAATGCGCAGCACTTGTGCCAGCCACGTCATGAGAGGCCCCAGGCAGCAGGTCCTCCCTGCCAGAGGCTTGCTAAGCTGCCATGGCCAGACCAAAGTCCAGGTAGCCAGGAGGTATCTGAAGAGGACCCAGCAGGCCAGAGCTCAGGGTCAGTGGAGCCCAGGGTCAGGGGTCTGCTGGCCTCTTGAGCCCGGTTCGCCCCACCTCAGGGTCTTTGCAAGGCTGTTTCCCCTCATGCGCACTTCCTCCAGGTACCTCCTTGCTGCCTCTGGTCGTCGTCTCACGCAAGACTCGGGTGGGCTCAGAGAGGAGAGCACCACCAATCATGGTCCAGGCTCCACCAGGTTGGGTGGAAGCCAAGGTGGGGTGTCAGGGTGGAGCCTAGGCTCCACGGGGGTTTTAGGGGAGACCCTCAGGGTGGGGGCTCAGACTCCATCGAGGGGTCAGGGGGTCAGGCTCCATCAGGTTGGGGCTCAGACTCCATTGACGGGGTAAGGAAAGGCCAGGCTCCGTCACGGTCGGGAGCCGGGGTCCACCAGGTGGGCCCTGGCGTGAATCGAGTGCAGAACCAAAGCTGCCAAGAGGATGCCCAATGGGAAGGTGGTCCAGAACCCTCGGCCCGGCTTCGCAGGAAGCCCGCGGATCGCCTGCCCTCTCCGCGCACCCCGCCTCCTCCAGCCCCGAAAAGCAGGAGGGTCGCCCCCGCCCCCCGGCCACACCCCCGCCAGGACGTCACAAAAAAGGCCCCGAGAGCCTCGGCGACCGCGCCAGACGGAGCAGCCCGCCTCCCGCGCACAGGCGTCCGCGGAGCTCGGCGGCGGGGCGGCTCTGCTCCGGGCGGCAGCGCGAGCGCCTGCGCGGCGGGCGGCGGACTACGCTTCCCGGCGTGCCTCGCGGGCGGGCGGCGGACTGCGCTTCCCGGCGTGCCCCGCGGGCGGGCGCGCAGGCGCAGTCGGGGCCGGGCGTCGGCGCGCAGGCGCGGCGGGTGGGGCGCACGGGTCAGGCTGAGGCGGGCGGCGGCGCCGGCGGCGGCGCGGGTGGAGCGCTCGGGGGCCACGGGCGGCGGCGGCGGCGGCGGCGTAGCGGAGGAAGGCGGTGGCTCCCCCGCGGCCAGCGCGCAGCCCGGTCCGTCCCGCGAGCTCGCGGCGGCCCCGCGTCCGGGCGCGCCCCCGGCCCCGGGACCCTCCGCCGCCGCCGCCGCCATGGCCCGGCCACTGGTGCCCAGCTCGCAGAAGGCGCTGCTGCTGGAGCTCAAGGGGCTGCAGGAGGAGCCGGTGGAGGGCTTCCGGGTGACGCTGGTGGACGAGGGCGACCTGTACAACTGGGAGGTGGCCATCTTCGGGCCTCCCAACACCTACTACGAGGGCGGCTACTTCAAGGTGAGCGGCGGCCGGCTCGGCGCCCCGCCCTGCCTTATGTAACCGGGTCTCGGCGACGCCGGGGGCGGGGGCGGCGCGCCCCCAGTGCTGCGCCCGCAGGCCCGGCCGGGCCCAGGCGAGCTGCGAAGCCGGGGCTGCTGGACGCCGCCAGCCTCGCAGGTCCCGCCGAGCGGGCGGCTTCTGCGGTCTCGGGCTGCTCTCCGGCATTTTTTTGCCCTCTGGTGGTTTAAGGATGAGCGGGAGCAGGGAGCCGAGGGCTGTCCCCCAGACTGTCAGATTCTGCCTTATGTGACAAGAACGTGGGCCACAGGCAGGGCGGTTTTCTCCACCGAACCGATCTGAGCCCAGTCATAGCTTTGGATTCCTCTAAGGGTCACAGGACCTTGTTCAGGAGCCAGCGGAGCAAGACTGGGGTCTCCCTACCTAAGGTGGGGGCAGAAACCGGGAGTGGTGGTGCACGGTTGTCTTCCCAGCTCCTCAGGCAGGAGAAGGGCAAGTGGAAGATCAGCCCGGGCAGCTTAGCAAGAGCGGGGACGTAGGTCAGTGGTAAAATGCTTGCTCTGGTATTCTCAGGGCCCCAGGATCAGTCCCCACTGTCACATACAAACAGAGAGAAACCAAAGCCCAGGTCCCAGTTGCCGGGTGAGGCCAAGACAGGTCTGTTTCCAGTGAGTGAGGGCACCTGCCTTGTCTACTTGGGGGCAATTGCTGAGTTGGGGTCCCAGGTCTTAGGGCAGGGGTGGGTAGGGGAACAGGTTTGAGTGCTCCTGCATCCCCACCCATGGAGCAGTCCAGTTTGAAAAGTCTCCAAGAGCACTTCATAGTTATGGCAGCACCCAGAATGGGGTAACTCCCCCGCCCTGAGGCCAGGCCAGGCTTCTAGGCCAGGCTGCAGTCAGGAAGCAAAGGTTTTGGGTCTCTGGCCCTACCCACCAAATGGCTGCAGGGCCTGGTGGGCAGAGCCTCCGGGGTTGGCTTTAGGGGGATCGTCCCATTTCTCCAGAAAGAGGTGTCAGGCTCGGATCATGTTTGCCACGGGTCTGTCCTCAGAAGCCAGTGTGGGACTAAGGTTGGCGCCCCTGTCTTGGGCATGGTTGGCTGCGGTGTGGGCAAAGACTTGTCAAGGGGATGTGGAAGTCGTAGGGGACTTGTAAGGTGCCTAAGGCCGCCATTGCTTCCCAGTCGCTTCCTGTGGGGCGTTCCTCTCAGCGTGCTGCAGGCAAAGCTCTAGCACCAGGAGGGGGAGGCTCCCCCCTTAGGCAGGGTCTCTCCTTCTGTGACCCTGATGTGTGAAATGGTAAAAGGGATCTCTAGAGACGCTGAGAGTAACAGGGGCAGGGGATGAGTTGGGTGAGGCTCAAAATCCAGGCTTAGAAACCTGGCAGGAGTCTAGGGGTGCCTTGAAGTCTTGAGCAACTGTTGGGCAGGTGTCAGACCCAGGTTCCAAGGTCACTCTGGCCTCAGCATGTTTTCCCTGGACATGGAGGCGTCCCTCTCCATAAGATTTCTAGGGGCCTAGTCTCCACCTCTTGGAGCTCACAGCACCCCCAAGATGCTGCCCCCCCCCCAAACAAACATCAGCGATTCCTTTCTTACCTGCTGAGAACCAGAGGCAGGAGCAGCATCAGGGCTCTGGCCACAGGTGAGCAGCTCTGGCACTGGTGCCGGTGGCTCAAGACCCTTGGCCTGAGGAGCCCTCAGAGAGGCAGTGACGAGGAGTAAGTCTCCCAGAGGACAGACGAGCCATGCCGGGCTGGGGCACGAGTCTCCGGGTACCTGGCGCCCTGCCAGCCTCTGGCGTTCCCACGTTCTCACCTGCACGTTGTGGGGCTGGATCCGCCCAGGCAACCTCAGAAAGGCTTGAGGCAGCCGATCGTGGACATGGCCTTTGGCTTGACCCTAGGCCCACAAGAAACTGGACAGTGAGCCCTGTTCCTCCTTGGCCTAGACAGTCACTTGTCCATCATGGGACACACTCCCCAGACACCCAGAGAGTGTCCTCTGAAATGGAACTCTGCCAGGGCCTAGCCCCCACTGAGCCACCCCTGCTGTTCCCACCCCACAGGCTCGCCTCAAGTTCCCCATCGACTACCCTTACTCTCCACCAGCCTTTCGGTTCCTGACCAAGATGTGGCACCCAAACATCTATGAGGTGAGCGCACACAAGCCTCGCACAGGCCTCTGCCTCCCCGTGGTCACGCCTCCGGTGGAGCAGGCAGTGGGAGCCTGGCCAGGGCTAACCCGCTATCTCCCTCACTCAGACAGGGGACGTATGCATCTCCATTCTCCACCCACCTGTTGATGACCCACAGAGTGGGGAGCTGCCCTCGGAGCGGTGGAACCCCACACAGAACGTCAGGTGAGGCTAGGCCCACCATGCAAGTCTGGTGGCACCTGTGCCCTGGACTGGCCCTGGGGACACGTGGGAAGAGGCGTCTGTGTCTCTAGTGCCTGTGGCACTGTGCTGTCCACCCAGAAACCAGACCCTGGGGAGATCCCAAGGCATCTGCTGCTCACCCTGGGAGCCCCAGCTTGAGGGTGGGCTCCTGATGCTGTGTGTCTCTGAGGGCAGCCCTCAGTCTGGAAGCAGCCCCTATCCACTCCAGCTCCTGCTGCCTGGTGGTGCCCTGAAGTGTGAGCAGATCAGACAGTGCCCACGGGGGCCTCTAGGGGCTCCTGGGTTGAGGCCTCAGTAGTTGGGGCCTGAGAGAGATGGAAGTCTGGGTTCTGCGGCCACCGCACTCCAGTCCACTCGTCCCCCTAGGACCATCCTCCTGAGTGTGATCTCCCTGCTCAACGAGCCCAACACCTTCTCACCGGCCAATGTGGATGCCTCAGTGATGTACAGAAAGTGGAAAGAGAGTAAGGGGAAGGACCGGGAGTACACGGACATCATCCGGTGAGCACGGGGCTCTGAACCCCAGAGTAGGGCCACCTGCTTCTGCTAACAAGGCTGACAAGTGCTTCCTGCCTTCTAGCCTGTTGGAGGCCACCTCTGCCCAGGGGCAGCAGTTGCAGATGGGGACACCAACCCCAGTCAGAAGTGCCCAGCCAGTTCAGCCCAATTTCTGGCCTCTTCTTTGTTTTTGAAAACATGGTGGTATTTTTTCCTTCTTTGTGTCCCAGAAAAGTGTGTCGTGTGAACACACATGTACACGTGGTCCACATAGCGTGTGTGTCTCTGTGTGCGCTGTGGCATACAGTGGGAAGGCCCCATCCCCAGCATTCAAGAGTTCCTAGTGTCTCATTGCTTTGTGACTCAGCCCTGATGTGCCTGGTCCTTCCTGCACCCTCCCAGGGCAGCACTCTCCCTGGGACAGTGGCCTCTGCTGCTGTGGTCCTTGTGGGTGGGTCCGCCAGGCAAGCCTGGTGCTGCGTACTCGCTGAAGGCCAAGCAGGCCTACGGTCTGCTGCTCGCTGGCACTTACAGCCCCGGACAGCTTGCCATGTGGGGCTGTGTCCCAGTGGCTCTCTGCCTGCTCCGATTTCCTCTGAGTCAAGAGGTGACTCTGCAAAAGAAGTAGTTTCTTGGGGAGTTGTGGGGACCCGTCAGGTGAATGGGGCTCGGGGACCTCCTCTCTGTCTGTTTTCTTGCTGTCTGTTGTCACTCTTCAGCAGGGTTTCTCAGTCCTTGCTTTGGTGTTCGTGGAACATGGGTCCTCACATCCTGGCCAGGTGCTCTGCCACCAAGCTGCCCCAGCCCTACTGGCTCATTTCTTGATTGACTTAATCCTTTTCTGTGTCTTTTCCAAATACTTTTTTCTTTTCTCAGAAATATGGAGTGCGGGGCTGGGGCTACAGCTCAGTTGGTAGAGTGCTTTCCTTGTATGCACAAGGCTTTGAGTTCAGTCTCCAGCACTACAAAAAAAAAAAAAAAAATGGAATATGGAATGCCTCCCTTGTGTGTCATCCTGGCACAAGAAGTGTGCCAATTTCCTCTGTCGTTCCATTTTTATTGTACATTGCTGCCAAAGAAAGCACTTGAAACACTTTTCAACTTATTCTTTTTAGTAATTATTTTATGTATCTTTATGCTGTGCTAAGGATTGAACCCGGTGTCTAATATATGCCAGGCAGGAACTCTGCCAGTGAGCCACAGCTCCAGCCCTCAACTCGTTATTTATCTTTGTGTTTTATGGAGCTGGAGATTGAACCAGGGTCCTCACCTTTGCTGGGCAAACACGTAATTTGCTTTTTAATTTAAAATAGTAGCTTGGGGCTGGGGTACAGCCCAGTTGGTAAAGTGCTTGCCTTTCATGCACAAGGCCCTGGGTTCAAGCCCCAGCACCACCAAAAAAAAATGGCTTGGCACAGTGCCTACGCCTGTAATCCCAGAGGCACATGAGGCCAAGACTCGAGGATTGCAAATTCCAGGTCATCCTGGGCAGCTTAGTGAGGCCCTAAGCAACTCGGGAGATCCTGTCTAAAAAGGCTGGGCGTGCAGCTCAGTAGTGGAGCACCCCTGGCTTCTATTCCCAGTGCTGCCAGAACAGAAACAAGCTGGCGTTGTGCAGGGAGGCACCTTGGTTGGTGTGGTTGAGAGGTGCCACTGTCATGTGGTGAGACTCTTTGGAGCCAGGTGTATGTACACCTGTCCCCACTGACCAGGAGTGGTCTGGCTCAGTGAGGCACCATCTCAAACACACTGACCCTTGGTGGACTGGCACTTGGACCTGCTCCTCTGCAGAGGCCTGCTGCCCCACAGTCCACACAGAGCTGCCTGCCCACCTGACCCCAGCACTGCTGCTGCCCTTAGCCAGGCAAGAGGCCACACTCTGCGCTTGTAGCTGGCCCCGGGTGGTCACACACACACAAGGAGACAACAAGGGCTCCTCCTTTCTGTCCCGTTCTTCCCAGTGCTCGGTCTGTCCTCTCTGCTGCCCTGGCACTTCCTGTGAGCAGAATGCCTTGAACTTGAAATGCTGCACCCACGGTGTTTCGCATGGGTGCCACGTGCTGCCACGTGCTCCTTATGAACTGGACAGTTGTTGCTGTGGTAGCCACCAACCTCTACTGGCAGTCTGAGAGGCACCCCTGCAACACCTGCCCTCAGAGGTGCCCGTACTCTTGGCACCTCTTCCCTGCCACCTCCCACCCAGTCCCAGAGCAGAGATGAGAGCTAGTCTGTTTTCATCCCTCAGAACCCTGTGGGTCACTCATGCCCACCTGGGACTGTAGTCGCTGCTCTGTGCCTACTGCTGGCTCTAACTACGTCTTTAGGCCTCAGAAGAGCTTGTGTCCTGCTGGGTTCTGCAGGACAGGCAGGAGAGCCCTGGCTGGTGCCGGGAAGGCCCAGAGCAGCTGGCACAGCGCCCTCCCACCCTCCTGCAATGCCCACGGGAGAGGCCTGAGCCAGGTGCGATGTCTGTCCTAACATGCAGACACAGGTGGCCAAGACCGGGCTCAGCTCCTCCCCCATGGTCCCTGTTCCTGTGCGTCTGCGTCTTCTCTGCGAGCTGTAGGCCAGAGGCTGGGGTCAGCATCTGCTGTGCCACACCGTTCCCTGTGTGAACCTGCACCCCGAGCAGCCCTGGCACTTCCTGATGGCCAGGGTGTCCAGTCCCACTATTGGCACTGCAGCCATGCTCCTGCCTGGCACCACGTCCTGGGGTCGGGTGGGTTGGGTGGTGTGTAGTGCAGGGCGTGCAGAACCTGGGGCGTGGCCTGGCATGAGCACAGCACAGAGCTGAGGCTGGCCACCGAGTCTCCCTGTGGCTGTGGCCCTGAAGCCAGCTTCTGTGGGCAGAGGCTGCGTGCTGTGCCCGGTGTCCCTGGCATTGCTCCCGCTGGCTTCCTATTCTGCAGTGTAGCCCTGATGTGCCATGGGGGGTGGGCCAGGATCAGAGCAGCCCCTCATCCATCCTGTCCCCCCAGGAAGCAGGTCCTGGGGACCAAGGTGGACGCAGAGCGCGATGGCGTGAAGGTGCCCACCACGCTGGCCGAGTACTGCGTGAAGACCAAGGCGCCGGCGCCCGAGGAGGGCGCGGACCTGTTCTACGAGGACTACTACGAGGACGGGGAGGTGGAGGAGGCAGACAGCTGCTTCGGGGACGACGAGGACGACTCGGGCACCGAGGAGTCCTGACACCTCGTCCACCGAATAAACTCTCAGATTTTACCTCATGGGACGGACGCTGGCTCTCTCGACAGGCTACCTCACGGCACTGCCTTGCCCTGCTCTGGGCGTCGCCTTTGGGTGTCCTTCCTTCCCCGTGCGGTTCTGGGTTTTCCTTGCTTCACAGAAGAGCAGCGGGCTTCGGCTTGCCGGCCCCCTCCTGGGATGGCAGAGCCGCAGCAGCCAGGGTCGTGGGCGGGCCCCATCCAGCGGCTTCGAGGCTGGGGTCCTAGCTCCTGAGTGGACGGACTGCTTTGAGGTCACCTCCTTTCTGCTGTGGTTTGTTTGAAATCTAAATAAAACTGCCTGTGAGAAGGCAGACCACTCCTCCTTCAGGGAGGCACCAGGGCCAAGGGCATCACACTGCTGGCGCCTTGTGCCTCCACAGTGGGCCAAGGTGGGGTTGGGCAGAGCCATGCCCCTGGGCTTGGTGGTCACCTCTGCAGCCTAGGAAATGGGGTAGCCAGGGAACCCCCTAGTTGCATTTAAGGGAAAGGGCCCCATCCACAGAAGCCAGTTTCCTTTGCACTTATGAAATGGCCCTTCCTGGATGCTCAGGGCCCGGGGTGGACTCTGGTGCTTCCCAAGGGTGCCTCTCTCACTGGTGGCAAGTGGGACACTGCTGGTCTTGTGTCTGTGCAACTGAAAGATCCAGAATGGCTGGACTCAGGAGTTGGACTCGCTGACCTTGGAATTGCTTGGATGCCCAAGGTCAAGGGTATATGCCTGGACCAAACTGGGCTACACTGGCTCTTTCCCAGGAGGGCCCAAGCCAAGTGGGCACAGTGTGGTAGGCCCTGGACCACACTGCTGGTGGGTGCAGCTTTGCCGTTTGAGCCCTCAGCTCTGGTTTGCTTGGGTTTTATTTTGGACAGTACTGGGGGTGGCCCAGGGCCTCGTGCTTCATAGCATGCTCTCGGTCCTGGGTTCAGTCCCTAATACTGCACAAAATGGGGCAGGGTGTCTCACTAAGTGGCCCAAGCTGGTCTCAAACTTACAGTCCTGCTGCCTCAGCCTCTTGAGTTGCTAGGGTGATGGAGGTGGCCACTGTGCCTATGAATTTCCTGTTCAAAACTTTCTTTTCTTTTTTTTTTTTGGTACTAGGCATTGAATCGGGGCACTTTACCATAAAGCTGTGTCCCCAGCACTTTTTAATCACGTGAAGCTGGGTCTCACCCCGTTGCCCAGGCTGGTCCTGAACATAGTCCTCAAGCCTTCTGAGTGGCTGAGTGACAGGCAGGTACAGGCCCTGCCGCATCTGACCCTGTGGCGTGCTGCAGCCAGGCACAGCCCCTGCCTGCTGCCTCCCCTGCCTGCTGCCCCTACCACTGGGAGCCAGTCACAAGGGAGGGGCTGGAGGGGTTGGGGGTGGGTGTTAACAAGAGGGCAGTTTGGGTTTGGGCAGAAGCCTTGGAGGTGGGTGGTGGGCACACTGCAGAGCTTTCCCCTACAAAACGACTAAGATGGTGAACTGTGTTTGTTACCACAAGAGAAAGGAGAGGCCTGGGGTGTGGCTCAGGCAGAGTGCTCCTTGGTGCAGCTGCACCAGGCCCTGGGCTCCATCCCCAGCACCAAGGAGGAGTCGCACTGAAGCCTGACACAACATATGAGGTGGGGATTGGAGCACTGGATTAAACCATAAGGAAGTTTGGTAGTCTCACAGTTTTGTCTTTTGAGTTCCTGTCCTTTAGAAACCCCTTCTAAAATGTTCTGGGTGAGGTGAGGCTGGAGGTAGAGAGATGTCTGCTGTGTGCAAGGGCAGGGCAGGGCTGTGGGCAGGTGAGATGGGAGACAGGCCTGGTGCTGGCACTCCAAAGGGGGTAGTGGGTAGAGGGGGTGCCGAAGATTGGAAAGAGCTTGGGTTTCCAGTTGGGAAGCCCAGGCATCAAAGGTCCCAGGGCAGTAGGCAACTTGGCCAGACCCATAGCAACATGGTGAGACCCTGTCTCAGAATGGGCTGGGGCGCTCACCTCGCATGCTCGAGGCCCTGGGTTGCTCTAGAAGGGATGCCGCAGCAGGTCCTGATTGGGAACGGCCCATCTGGAGACGTCAAAGCAGGCCGTGCTGGAGAGTGCCTTCTCCAACTTCCTTGAGGGGCTCCCGAGGACCTGAGTAGGAGTCTCATGTTGGGGGGCTGCAGAGCTCTGGATGATGAAAGGCCTGGCCCCCTGGGTGGGGATTCTGCACCCAGCAGAGCCACTGTGGAGAGGCATCCTCCCTTCCTGACCTGCTGCAGGGCCGCCTGGAGCTCAGGCCTGCTCAGTGTCCACACCCCGCCCCCGAGGCGTGCTGCCCTCCAGGGCTGTGCAGAAACCTGGGTCTCTGCACCATGGGCGGCTCCTGCAGCTCCTGCTGCTGTGCTTCAGTGTTTGCTCCAGGACACCGTGGTCTTGGCACCAGCCAACACGGCTGCATGATGCTATGAACTATCAGCCCCTGCTCAGGGCTTGCTGCTGCAAGAAGTCGAGGGCCTCTCACCTCCCCTGGGATCTGTTGGGCAGGAAGGCACCGAGGCCCCATGTTCTTGCCATGCATGTGGCAGGAGTTGGTGCTTCTGCTTGGCCACTTGGTGACAGGATGCCCACTGGCTTTCTCCATGGTGAGAACCACAGCATCTTCATTGTCTGAAGGGGGCTGGGCCCCAAGAGCTGCCAACCACCTGTCCTGGGAGACTAGGCTGTCTCTGCACCCTCCCCACAGGCCTGGGAGGCAGGCTCGGAATGAAGCAACCCTGCAGGAAGGGCAGAGCTGCTTCCACACCACAGGCTGGGCCAACACCTGGTGCTGCCAGGGTTGAGCGGAGCAGGGTGGCTGGAGGAGAGTGGCTCTTAAATGAGCTGGAGACCTACTGGATGGGTGCACACAGGGATCCTTTCATCTAGCACCCACCATCCTTCTATAAGTCATCTGTCCACCCACCCATCACCCGTCCACCGTCCATCCACCCACCCTTTGCTGCGTGCTCCTTGAGTGCGTACTTCTCTAGGCCTGTTGGAAACAGGATGGACCGGGGCCTACCCTCATGTTGACTCTAGGACAAGGGGCTACTGTTAGCATTCCTGTGTGACACCGTGTCCGCACCAGTCCTGGGAAGGAAGAGAGCCAAGTAGGGGTGGAGTGTGACACCTGGTGTTGGGGAAGTCCACGAGAAGGTTCAGGAGAGCCCAGGTAAGGAGGCCAGACCTCGGGCATCCAGGGGAGCCCTCCAGCAGGGCCGAGTCCCTTGTGGGAGAAGGATCAGCAGGACCTCAGTGGGCCCGAAGAAGGGGCCACATGGGCCTGAGGGGTCAGGAGGTTGGATATTTAGAGCAGCACTGGGGATCGGATCCAGGGGTGCTCTAGAACGGAGCTACACCCCAGCCCTTTTTATCTTCTATTTTCAGATAGAGTCTTGCTCAGCTGTTGAGGCCAGCCTCGGCTTCCCGAGTCATTGGGATTACAGGCGTGCTCCACTACACCTGCCACTGATGGGGTCTGGGCAGTGGAGCCTGTGATGGGGAATGGGGGACCGGGCGACCCCTGTGTGTTCTGCTGCAGTTTCCAGGGACACTGGGAATTTCATTAGAATGGTAAATTTGGGGTCTGAGGCCTCCAAGCTTTGGGTGGGGCAGGGTACATCTAGCCTTAACCTGACCGTATCTGTTCCCCTTGCCCGTAGACAACACATTTGACACCAAAATTACTGGGAATTGAGAGGCCACCACCCCCAGTCATGCCTACACATGGCTTCACTGCAGAAAGCTGGCACCCACCTGTGTTGGGGGGTCCTTGTGTACCCCACCTCTCTGCCACCCTAGACATCCCAAAGTCCCAATATCCAGTTGCAGGGCATCCTGAGAGACAAGCAAACAAGGGTGCCCCTTCCCCTCCCTAGAGACAGCTTGGGCTGCAGGTTCCTGGGGTGTTTCAGCTGGAACAAGAAGCACAGGAAGGTCTGGGCCTTCCAACTGGATTGAATTGGGCCACCTGTCAAGTTTAGGAATGTGTTTGACACCTGTGGCCACCAGGATAGAGCTGACCTACCTGCCTAGTGGCAAAACACAAGAAACTGGTCCCTGTTGCCATTGAGAAGCCACTAAATAAACCCCTCCTGGTGCTGCCCTGCCTCTGGAGTAGCCAGTAATAAAAATCCCCAAACTGAAGTGCAAAAGAGGATCTGTTGGCTCATGTAACTGACAAGTCAATGAGGAGGTCTAACTTCAGGTGTGGCTTGATCCAGGTGCAACTTGATCCAGTTTCTCATGGGAGCCCCTGGTCTCAGTGCTGCCCTTTCCCACTGGCCACATTCTTTCATGTAGCACCAAGGATGCACCTGCAAGTCCTGCAGAAAAAGCTTGTTTCTCTAATTTAGGCAGATTTATGAGGATTGGCACACATTGACCTTGGAACAAATAACTGTAGAGGTGCAGTCCTGGGCGAGGGAGTTCCCGGGGTGGTCTGGGGCATGGAGGGTGGCACTTCTGGATGCTCAGGAGTGGGGAACGGCTTCCTGGATGCTGTGGAGACAGGTAGGACCCTCGCAGGACCTGCTGGGGACGGACAAGGCGGGCCGGTCATCCACACTCTGGCTCCTGCTGCCTCAGGATGGAGCTACTGAGGCTGTGCTGGGGCTGCATGACCTTGGCAGCCCACGCCTCACCTTCCACACCAAGGTGGCCGCCAGCACCCTGCCTGTGTGCCGGCTCCAGCTGGAGAATGCCCTCGTGCTGCTGGAGTGCTGGGGTGGCAGGCCTGACACAGCTCGTCTGCCTGTGGCCCCACTCACCTGCTCCTCTTCCCCACTGCTGGGCAGGGAGGTGCGGCCCAGCAGTGTTGTCCAGCCCCTGGCCTTGCCAGAGAGCAGCAGGCGGTGAGAGCAGGAGTGCTGTGCAGTGCGGCCAGCTGGAGGCTGACCACCAGGGTGGGCACCTGGCCCATACACACACTGCAGGAGCTGGAGCCCTGTTTGCTGTGTGCCTGGATGTGCAACAGGAGCCTCTCTGGCATGGCAGCTTCACCCCTGCCCCGCATCCTCTGCTCAGTGGCCGGCTCTCTGAACCAAGCCTACTGCCAGGTGACCATGTAGCGGGCAGGGGCAGCTCAGCCTGACAGAAGGCCCACAGGCTCCTGACTGCACCCACCTCGGCCTGTGGCCAGGGAAGCAGCTGGGCCAGCCCCTAGCATGTTCTCTGGGGATCCTGGAAGTGGGACTAGCATTGACCCCATTTCTCAGATGCAGAAACTGAGGCCCAGAGGGGTTAAACGCGCTAGCCGGGGTCACATATTAGGGAGCAGCAAAGGGGACCAGGGCATGGACCAGGGCACAGGCCAGGGCATGTGCAAGACCATAGGGCAGGAAAGAAGGGGAGAAGAATGCTTCTGGCTTGGGAGTGGCCCCTTGGTGCCTCTCAAGCCCCGCTGGACCTTGCTCCCCGACAGAGGTGCAGATGCTAACATGGGCTCTGTCACCTCCAGCAGGGTGACTGGTGGGTCTCTGGTGTGAGGTCAAGGCTGGGTGGATTGAAATCCTGTCCTTTAGCTCTAAGACCTGAACCAACTTCTTCAAGCCTCCTGTGGCTACTGCCATGGCCCCCTATGTGTCCTGGATCAGGAGGGTCATCAGCCACTGGCCATCCTGGCCTCTGATGTGGCACTCCAGTTGACCAGATCTCTCGGTGGCAGACCCTCCCCTTAGGGTTCAGGGAGGGACGTAGCAGTTGGAGACTGGGCACATCTGCAGGACCAGGACTGATTCACAGTGATTCTTCATTCCAACTGAACTGGGTATGCAAGGTGCAGGGGCCACACTGTCATCGCAGCAACTCAGAGGCTGAGGCAGGAGGATGGGAGTTCAAGGTCAGCCTGGGCCACTTAACAAGGCCGGGTCTCAAAAGATAAAAGAGGGGGTGGGGATACAACTCACATTCACAAGGCCCTGGGTTCAATTCCCAGCTCCACAAAAATAAATAAATACATAAATCAAGGGCAGGGGTGCAGCTCAGCAGTAGAGCACCTCCCTGCGCATGTGAGCCCTGGGTGCACTCCTGCACCAGGAAAGTGGGTAGGGAGACAAAGGCCCACCCCACCGCAGCTGCAACCTGGGAAGGGAGGGGTACCTCCCAAGCCTCTCCCAGGAGGGCGTGAGGGTGGGGGCACCTGAGCCAGCAGGGGGCAGTGCTGACCGGCCAGCACGCTGTGTGCACTGCGGGTAGGGAGTCTGGGCAGGTGTTCCCCGGAGTCTTGCACTTGACTCACGCCGTGATTGTGTACAAGTCACAGGCCCTGCTGCCAAGCCATGCAGCCTGCACACCCTCTCGGGGTGCAGCTGCAGCTCATCTGGTCAGAACACTCTTCACCCCAGAAGGAAGCCCGGTCCCAGGAGCGGCCCCCCATCCCTCCAGCCACGTCCATCTCTGGACTCCCCTGTCCCAGACATCTCCTGTCACTGGCTCACACACTGTGGCCTTGTGCATCTGCTTCTCACTGAGCACAGTCCTCAATCCATCCACGCTGCAGCAATGTTGGAGCCTCACTCCACTCCAGGAGAGAAACACACTTTCTCCTCCTCTTCCTGGCTCTTTGGGCTATGAATCAAATTTCCGTAAAGTGCATTAACAGGAGAAAAGCCATTCCATATGCACATGCGTAAGTCCCACCGAAACACAAGGCTCCACGAAGGCA